AAGTTTACTTTGTCGCCTCATTTTGTGCGGATGCAACTTTTACGATGAAAATTGACAGAATCTAGATCCGTGGTTCCTAACCTAGGTTCGATCAAACCCCAGGAGTTCAGTGAGTCAATAGCAGGGGTTCGGCGGAGGTCCTAAAAAATCAGAAAAAAAATCATATTTTATTTTTTCTGTTAAGAAGGGTTCGGTGAATGCGCATATGAAACCTGGGGGGGGTTCGGTAACTCCAAAAAGGTTAAGAACCACTGATCTAGATAGATAAATACCTTTGCCGATTTAAGAACTTTTTAATTTGTCTCGTATAATTTGATGTAGTGATTATATGCTGAAAATTACCAAGTGCAACATCTTACAGTGGTAGAAACCGGGTGGTTGTGATAAAATTTTCTCCAAATTTTTTGATGAATTCTTTTCTTTGTTTCGCAGCCAACTGTTCTTGGTTCAACAGAAAAAAGAAAGACAAATACCTAGCTAAACATAACGCAGTGTTTGACCAGCTGGACCTGGTCACGTACGAAGAGGTGGTGAGGTTACCTCAGTTTATGAGGAGAACCCTTGTCCTCCTGGGGGCTCACGGGGTCGGGAGGAGACACATTAAAAACACACTCATCACAGGACACCCTGACAGATTCGCCTACCCCATACCACGTATGTAATAAAACTTTTTTAAAGATCTTTTGTTGTACCATACTCATCCAATTTTTTTTATGAGCTTTCAACAATTTAAAAAAATATTTTACATCTCATTATCAAAACTGTAGTTGAAGGGAAGTAATTAATCACACAATCATTTAATATACCGGGTATTATATATGTTTTATTTGGATTGTTAAATCATCTGAAGATAATTTCTTTTTAAAATGTCCATTAATCACTATTGAAACATGGGCTCAGTAATTCATTAAATACTTTCTATTCCTCAAATGCATCTCTAATACTAGTAATAATAATTTTTTGATGTTTCAAGTATGATCTATTTATTTTTTGTCGTCACTTAAACAAATTTCAGGTAAAAAATTAATTATGTCAATATTTGTAATTTTTCAAAAACTCTTACTAATTATTTGAACCACTATACAACCCAATGACGGCCGATTGACATTAAGCTTACAATACATAATTGCACCAGATTGACTTTAAGCTTACAATACATAATTGCACCAGATTGACATTAAGCTTACAATACATAATTGCACCAGATTGACATTAAGCTTACAATACATGAATGAACTGTCATTTCATTAAGGCTAATGATGTGTATCGTCTATTTAACTTGTGCAGACACTACGCGGCCCCCTCGGACAGAGGAAGAGGATGGGAAAAACTATTTTTTTGTATCCCACGAAGCTATGATGAGGGACATTGCCAACAACGAATACCTTGAATATGGCACACACGAGGATGCTATGTACGGGACTAAACTGGAGACAATACGAAATATACATTCGAGGGGCCTTATGGCTATATTGGACGTGGAACCACAGGTTTGTGACACCATGTTTTTTTCGCACATGTCTGCTTTGTACTGTTCTCTAGGCTGATAATATGCCATGTTATGCCATCTGTAAAATTTCCATAACAAATTTAAAATATTAGTTATTATAGCATTCAGGTAAAGATTTTTTTAAAAGCCTTTGCTGTATTTTTTTGTTGTTGTTAAGGCCTGTTATTTCTAGTGCAGGCCTAGTTATCTTGTCTTTTCTTTATCATGAAGAATGATGTCTGAATATCGCCAAGGCTTAGCACTTTCTGTTTGGAGAAGTGACAAAACATTTAAGCACATTAGGAGAATTAATTACCTTGAAGCTTTATACCCCGGTGTCTTACATAAGACGTCTCTTACCCCCATATCTTATTAAAAACAGTAATTCTATTGCATATCTAGTGACCTGGACATTTCTTTGTCTGCCATATAAATGTTTGCTTTCACAAATGTAGATTAATTACCGAACCCAATAAAGTTGTTGGAAAGACTTTAAATTTGAAGTATGAGTCTCACTCAATTCAATGAATTTTATTATTTTTTAAACTCAAATTAATTTATTTGAAATAGCTATTCCGTATGTTATTGTAATGTATATGGCAGTGGCTTTATTTTTCATAAAGTCTTTCCTCTACAAAGGGCACATAACAAATAACTTTGATCTTCACTTAGTGTTACATAACAAAATAATGCTTTCAATTTGTTCAGAATGTTAGAGCTGTCAATTCAGCAGAATGGGTGCCATTATATGCAGTAAGATGGATTTTTTTTTTCATTAGAATTTTGAATGTTTAACTGTTAAATTCTAATGAAAAAAAAATCCATCTTACTGCATATAATGGCACCCATTCTATGTTTTTTTTTTTTTTTTTTTTTTTTTTCCTCTTAACCTGAAATGAATGTAATTAAATATATTAAGAAATGTCCCAGATATATCTTAATATATGTAATTTTATTCATTCCAGGTTTAGAAGAAAAAAAAAAAGAATTTAACTGTTAAATTCTTGTATTATTCTAAATGTGGAATGAATGAAATTACGTAACATATTATAAATATCTAGATTTTTTGTATCTATATTTGAAATTTGGTGTCACTCTCCCTGGTGATTGACTGATGTCTTTAAACAAAGATTTATCTCCTTTTTTAGGCCATCAAAGTGTTGCGGACAGGCATATTCACCCCCATCATAGTTTTTATTGCAGCACCCACACTGCCAGCCTTGCAGGAGGTACCACCTGATTGTCATGTGACTTCATTGGTGTCACGTGACCTAATTCTCTTGCATGATGTCATGTCCTGGCTGATATATTTTTGGAGTCACCTTCTAACCCCTTATTGTTCAGTGTTAGGCTACAGTTTTGTTTGGTTTCAGTTCTGTTAGAGTTTTTAAAAAAAAAAGGGAATCAAATCATAAAATTGTATATATTGATTCGATGGCTTTATTGAAATACATCTCTATAACTGTAGCAAATTTTGTGATGTAGGAAAGAATTTTTTTTTCAAAATTTGAGTTCATTCTACAATAGATAACCATTGTTTCATTGTTTGGTACACTTTTGAAGTATTTGGATGCTTATAAATATAGATTTAAATAATTTTGTAAGACATCTAATTCAAGCCACTAGCTCAGCTGGTAAAATAACAGGTAAAAAAATATTTTTAAATGCAGTCAGTAAATCTGTGATGTATTTTATGAGGGCATGATTCTCGAGTATGTTTTGTTCCCCTTTTTTGTTCCTAACCAGTACCTATTTTAATTGCACTTTCTGTTACCTGGATGTCATATGTACTTTGCCAAGCAGGGTCACGTGTCATATGTACTTTGCCAAGCAGGGTCATATGTACTTTGCCAAGCAGAGTCACAGAAAAACATGTGATGACAAAATCAGAGTACCATGTTTCTTATATTTGAATATCATTTTTTTTGGTTTGCTATGAACTTAAAGAGAAGTCATTCAGAATAATCTTTCATTCCCTTCTAAGATCAGAAAATCTTAGGTAAGGTACATGAACTCAGTTTCAGTCCAGTACATTACCAATTATTACCCAACCAACCACCAAAATAACTCAACTGAAACAGAAATTATTATAAAAACAATTGGAGTCTTACACACACACACACCCCACCCCTCCACACACACACACACTTGCCCAGTTTATTATTCATGTGATGTAACCTGAAAAAGATTTGACTAAATGTATGGGTTTCAATGATCATCTATCTCTTAAGCATGCGTAATTTAAATCTTCAAGGGTCCTTTATCATTTTTAGAAAGGCTACATACATATTATTGTTTTGAATTATTTTTTTTTTTTTCATAATATTTTTTAAAGCTTTGCCACTTCTCATTTGCAGATACACTTTTTATTTACTTTTCATTTGTTTTATAATTTCATTTTTGTGTCTTTAATCATTTTTATTTTATTCATTTTTTGCCTTGCTCTGGTCATGCATGCCGTACTTGCTGTTTGATTGTTGTGCCCTGTTACTGCTTATGTTTCCAGGCACTCAAAGTGCTGCGGGCAGCTGATTATGCCCCGTATGTTGTGTTTATCGCAGCACCAAAGCCGGAGGAACTCCGGGAAGCTTTGAAAAAAGTTGATGTAAGTAAAAGATTTCTTGTCAAATGCAATCCAAGAAATACAGTTACTTAGGAATTAGTGGTGAGCTTATGGAATTTGAAGCTGTGAGTTAAAAAATGTTAAACAAAAAATCTGAAGTTGATAGGGATAAATCCCTATTATATTGAAAAGGACATTTATAACGTACAAAGAGAAAATTTTTTAGCCAAGTCAATAAATCTTCAATAAACTTGTCCTCCATCATAAAAAAAAATAAAAAATTAATTACAATTAAAGAGATGCAATAGAGTTTTTACTTGTAAAGATAATGATATACAAAATATGAATGACTATTACTTGATTGAGCTTTTATCCTCCATTTTCACATGCAGACTGTAACCCTATGCCGCCTTTCCAGACTTGTGAAACTATTTAGATGTTGTAACTCAGTATTTTAATCCTGGCATGAAATGGAGTCTTTCTGAATATTATTTATTAACAAAGTTGTGTTGAGTGAATGAGTTTTTACAGCTTTTTACCTCCCCTTCAGTTGTTTGCAGATTCAGTTTTTAATAGTGGTTGCCTTTTTATTTGTTTGTTTTTTGTTGGTTTTTTTTTTGAGGTACTAAAATTATTTTTTAGATAAAGTGAAGAATTTTTTTTTTTGATGTTTTTTTCTTTTGCTCTGTTAAAATATTTATTGCATTTGTGCTTAGAATTCAACCAGTCATGTCTTGTCATTTAAAAGAATTTTTTTTTAATATGTTACTGATATAAAGCTATATGTTATTGATATAAAGATATGCAATGATAAATTTAAAAAATAAAACTTCTACTTTGCGTTAATAAATTTAAATGGCAAGAGATTAATGTGGTATTTTGAGATTTAAAACATAAGCGAAAATGGCAAATCTTTATTTTTTTCTTCCTTCTCTGACAGGACTCCAGCCTCGAGAGACTTGCCAACGAAAGCAAGCTGCTGGAAAAGGCCTACGGTCACTTCTTTGACCTGAAGATTGTCAACAATGACATTGACGAAACCATTCAGACCTTAGAGAAAGCCATTCAAGAAATTTGTTCCACACCCCAGTGGGTCCCGGTCAGCTGGGTCTATTAATGTGCGGGTCTGTCGTAGAATATGTGTATGTGTGCGGGAATGCAGGCCCCAGATCTTCCGAATACAACAACAACAAAAAAAAATTATTTTACAGTGTGAATGAGTGATTGAAACAATTAGATGAGACATGGTTTTCTGGCAATATTATTGATTTGTTACTGAGGTACCTGCTAGGTGCAAGATTTCACATGTTATACTAGTGTTACCTGTTGTGTTAAACAATAAGTAAGTGCTTGTGATCGGTGCAACACATTTTATTTTTGTCCATAATAGATGTTGATAATTGAAATTCTCAAATTTGTTTTATGTAACAACTTAACAGCTTTTTGAAAACAAAATAGTTCGATTCTTGGCAAATAACATCTGTTAAAATTTGGATTCAAATGCTGCTCATATTTTGCTCAAGGCCACCAGGCAAAATTCTTATTTTCCATTTTAAAAAATTGATGTTATTTTTACCTTTTTTTTTAAAGTCCTACCACAATAGTTGATTGTCAAATTGTTTTAAAGTCATGTAGGGATAAATCCTTTTTGGTCCTAAAAAAAATCATTAAAAATACTTCTCCAAACTTTACAAATTGGTAACTTTAAACTTCAACTTCAGGCATTAATCCTAATACAAGTGAGTTTTCTTTTTTGCCTTAGCTTTGGTACAATCGCAGACCACTTGGATTGTATGACTAAACTGAAGCACATCTGACATGTCTTAAATAGATTTTTTGAAACCATACAGAACACAAAGTGGTTCAAAATGAAACACTCGCAATTTAGGCTTTCATGTTTCCTAAACATTTTGATTCGCCTTCTAGGCATTTTCTAAGTAAATGTTTAATTGGATTGAAATCTTCAATTAGCAGAAGCGAAAAACAATCAAACACCACATGGCATGTTCTTAGACTCTAACTTTTTTTTTTTAATGCATAATATTTATATGAAATGAAAATCATTTATGTTTTTGGACATTCATTTGCCGTTGATTTTCTTGGATTTATAAATAAAATTGTAAGTGGCATCAAAAACATCAGTTATTTTTTGAAAGTCTGGAAATTAATGGCTGCCATTATCATTATTTAAAGAGGAATCTTAACATTAAATTCAGTTTCTAATAAATGGCTTAATGTTGAATATCATCAAGTAGAACAGTGATGGGGCAACCTGACTTGAATTTCAGCTACGGTACTTAAGTCATGAAACGCTGTTTAAACATTGAAGTGAAAAGGGTTTGTTTTTTTTTAAATGCCATTAGTTTTAGTCTTCTTCACATAAATTGATGACTCATGAGTTGTTAACAGATAAATTGATGACCCATGAACTGTTAACAGATAACACACCGTTTTGAATAAGCACCACAAATGGGTTGCCCGCCCCCAGAATACCCACCTGGAACCTGCTTGAGCTTGTATTGTTTCTGTCCACGCAGCTTTGGTGAGCTGAACATGAAGACAGTAAGATGATAGTAATGATAGTATAAATGATAGGTGTGGGACAGAAGCGATCGCGTGATAAGAAACCACTGTGGTAATGGCAAGATGTAGAGCTAACCGAGCAGCACTCTCTAGCAGTACCAATATTCACTCACTATGTCTCCCCGACCCTCTGACATAATCCATTCATTGATTCCGCTGTCATGCGACCATATATGTTCGTCAGCCCTGGTCCTTTGATTTCACCACCAGTTTGCAAAATGTTTCTGTATCTTACGCCCGTACAACTCCCTCACTGATACCATCTTCAATTAATTATCACACAATCTATTATTTCCTGAAAACTTTTCCTCCCACATGTCATTTATTATCTCATAACTTATTATACTGTAACATTTCCCCTGTGTTTCATACCTCATTATTAATTAAGAATGTAAACATTTTTTGTATTCCACCTCAGGTTTTGAGTTTTTCTTCGGTACATTCATGGTTGTGTTGGCCTCCAAATAGATATTTAGAGATTTTTTTTACATTTGGTTTTTATTTTGCTTCTGTTTGTTTCTATTTTCTTCAAATGGTTCAATAAATCAAATAAAGTTGTTAATCCATATATATATATATATTGGTATTTATATTTACTCTTCAATTTTATAATTTATTCTAATAATAAATTGTTTTAATTTTTCTCCATTTTTTTTTTTACACCAACAGTTATTTTACCATGAAATTTGCAATCAAAATCTATTTTTGTTATTTTCTTCTTTAAGAAATTTCTTTGGGGGAAATTAGTTTGAGAACTTTGTGGGTTGTTACCTAAAACCATTTATTTTATTTAACACATACTGCTAACTTGATAAAATGAACAAACTTTTCTTAGCCACTATTTTATTAAGTCATTAATTCAAACTTACATGATGTGTAGACTGGCCGTATGTACATAAAGAAGGTAAGTAAATAAATCACTTAAATGTTTCACGCCATCGGGCAAGCATTTGGCTTATTTTAGTTCTTTTCTTACCTAAATGAGTCTAAGATTTACCACAGCATATTGTAAAAGCCATGTTCAAAAAGACCAGTGAACACTGTTCATAAAAATGTTCAAAACAAAAACCCTTTAGTGGCGACTACAAAACAATCATGTTGCTGACATAAAGATGTCTGTGTATTTTAACTATTATTGGCAACTTTTTTTTAGAGATGTCTTTAAAATTCATCTTATGTGGCTATGGCCAGGCAACTAATTTTTTTTTAAAATTCCTAATGAAGTTCAACATTTCCATACTATGTTCCCACTATGGTATCTAATGCAAGAAAGTGTGATTTTTTTAAATTTTCAATTTAAAATATTTTTTGTTCACTATATAATAAAAGGCTTTACTTAATCTTTAAGATGACCTAGCACATTGATTGAACACATTTATTGAACACACTGACTGAACACTATGACTATGATAACATTTGTTAATGTTGTGGAAAAAGTCTGAGCAGAGGACCTGTCAGTGTTCATTTTTGACAAGCTGTTATATTTTGTATGGTGTACCCTGTGTTTCATTTCCAAACGGGCAATGCTAAGGTTTGTGATATAATGCCAGCACACAGAGCTGTAGGCTAACAGTTAATGTACATAGCACATAGTTTTGGTGAAGATTTTCTCTCATTAATGCTGGAGAAGGCTACTGGTTGGTAGTTTTCAAATCTTAGCTCAAAATCAGATCTGTATGATTGAAGTGATATTTCATGTCACAGTTAAGTGTATGATTGAAGGGATGTCACTGTTAAAACTGCCCAAGAAAAAAATGCAAAAGTTAGAAAAGTCATGGAATTTATTGGCTTATTTTTTTTTCACTCATTTTTTTTTTTTATTACTGCCATCATAATTAAAGTACAAGTACAGAAAAGACATTTCATGAAAGGCTGGTGCTTCTCTGATATGTGACTTTTTAGTTCAAGATAATTTATACTTTTAGCATGAGGGCAGAGTTACATGTTGTTTTAAATCTGAAAATGAAATAAACATTATTTTAATGATAGCCTGTTTATCAGGTATACTTTTTAGCTAAGCCGAGAGCCTGTTACTTTTAGCTAACTTCCTACTTTCAAATACCCAATCCTCCATGCCTATAAGTTGTAAGATAAGAAAAATAATCACAATTTGACCAAAAGCTCCAAATCTTTTGGGTAAATATTTTTTTGTATTATTCTTTTTTAAATAATGATATGTCTTGTTACAGGCTTGTGTCAGCTAATTTAAATTTAATCATCATGCGAGCTTATAAACAAAAGCACAATTTATAATGCATTATGTACTTTTTTTGTTACTATATATGTACCAAAATATTGTGTTTTAGTTTGTTTGTTTCTTTGTTTTTTTTCTTTAAATCCTCAATAAGGATGAAATGGAGCCAAAAGACATTTGAGAATATTTATTAATTTGTGTACAGTGTCTTCCATTACAAGAATAATAATCTTTCTTTTTTTTTTTTTTTCTGATAAACCAATTTCAGGTATTGACTTAGAATTTTATTTTTAAAATGAGGTTTAGAAATATTTAATAGATTTGTGTTACATTTTTGTTTGTTTTTTTTTTTTTTTTCTTTAAATCCTTAATAAGGATGAAATGGATCTAAAAGACATTTGAGAATATTTATTATTTTGTTTATAGTGTTTTTCTTTACAAGAATAATAATCTTTCTTTTTTTTTTTTTATCTGATAAACCAATTTCAGGTATTGACTTAGAATTTTATTTTTAAAATGAGGTTTAGAAATATTTAATAGATTTGTGTTACATTAGAAGTAAAGGTTGAATTTTTAAGCATGTGCATCTAAAAGTTCAATGACGAAGTGGTCGGGCATCACAATCTTTTTCTCATTGCCTAGTCAACAGTGTGTGAAATAAAAATGTAAATAAAACTACCGTATATAGTTTTTATATATCTACTCAAGTGGAATGGGAGGAGACTCAAATTGTGATGACTTGGTATAAAGACATTTTTAGAATTGTTATTAGAAAATTCATCTAAGCCAAGATGGCAGTCTGGTTTTTTTTTTATATGAACGTAGCTAGTCAGTTAGCTATGTATGTAAAACAATGACCAGACTAGAATAAGACCATACTGTAAACATTTTCTTTTATTTAAAATTTAAAAAAAAAACATTTTTGATTTTGAAGTATAGCAATTCTCAAGTTATGGTTTTTTTTACTTTCTTTTTAATTATATTCACAATTTTTTTTATATAACTTGAACTCACACAAAAAATACAAGTATGGTATTTAAACCATCAGGGCTGATTTATTAGGGAAGTAAGGTTTATTTAAATTTAGTGTATTGTGTCAGTAACAAGATGGTATAAATTATAAATCAGTTTGAAAGTTAAGCAGAATATTTCAAAACGTCTGAATTTATTATTTTTTTAAACTTGAGATCAAAGTTTTTTGTACAGCCTTGAACAAATGAAGAGAATAAGAACTCAGTTTCTGTTATGATTCATTAGACACAGTTCTGTTAGAGTCATTAGACACAGTTCTGTGTAATTTCTTGGGGCAATTGTTTGAAGGATTTATTATTTTTTAAAGAATATAAAATCTGTAAAGTTTCTCTCACTATAAAATGTATTTCGATAACCTTTGCGGACATTGATTTTCAGATCAAAGCAAAAAAAAAAAAAGGGATGT